GCTCCTTCTTGTATGGAAAACTCTGATGCCTGCAGGTAAACCAGTCTTTCAAGTGTTTAAATCCCCACTAATTACCAAAGAGCTGGGAAAAGATTTAACAAGTATGTCCTGCCTTTCCTGTCTCTGCAGGGCATTCTTCTAAGAATAGGAGATTGGAGCCTCCATTGCTTTCTTCTACCACTGGCAAGTCTTTGTGTAACAGGGTGGTCCCCAGGAAAGGGGGAGGTTCCCTGCCCCACCCAAGGGAGGGTGGAGCTGAGCAGGAAGAGGGAAGCTACAGAAGAGACTGAGGAAGGAAGCAGGATGGAGCCAGAAGGAGACCTGGAAGAGGCACATGGAGCCTAGAAACACGTGAAGAAACTGCGCTTGTCTTTTGGTCGTGGACTGGGTGACACAGATGTGGGTGAGACCCGTGGGGAGGTGACAATGGCAGCTTTTATCTTGATGTTGATTTTGCTCTTTTCCTTCCGGGCTTGTCTGGTTGTTTCTGACCCTTTTCTGTGGGTCCCCACTGGAAGATGCTTTAGACTTGTGGCAGGCTTTGGGGCCTTGCTCTGCGCCATTCCCATATGGATGGCCTTTTACCCACGAGGGGATGGGTAACTTTGGGTGCTTCATTTAGAAACTAGACTCTTTGCCTTACCTGTATTGTTTCCTAGTTTTATTAAAGTTCCTTCCCATTAAAGTCTCCTATGTTTTGTGTTGATGCGGCGGATGGCAGAACCCATTTAGAATAGGCAGGTTTGCGGGGGTTTTTGGGCTGCCCCTCTTCCTGTCCTATAACATTTGGACAGGAAATTTGGAGTTGCAAGCTCCTGTTAACAAGAGCATTTGTTGCTGGTGTTGCTGACTCACTGTTTCTGCCCATACAAACTAATACAAAGTTAGGCTTTTTCCAACATTTCTCACTGATTAAAATCTGTTGGGCTACTTCTGGGTTGAATCCTCACTTTGATTATCTTAATCTCTTTGTCTAACTATTCTTGAGACTTTATTTTTCATTTAAGAGTATCCATTAATCACAAAGGCTAAATGCATTTACCTGTATGTTTCATTCTGGCCAAATCATTCTTTAATGCTCTAAAAGTCAACTGTCCTTTGAGTTTTATTCTGAGAGAGCATAACTACTATTTCAGCAGGTCAGTCTCTTCCATGCTTCCATGCTATAGCTTTGTAAACATACTGTAAAATTTTCTGGGGATCCTGCAACTGGTCTAGCAGGCAAGAGAGCAAAGTCATGTTCACAGGCTTTATCCTGTATGCAGCAATCTGCTGCTTGAAGATAAAGTTAGTCTTTTCAGATAAACAGCGATTTAACAATGGGCACCCACCCAGCCTTTGCATTGCCATAGTACATTCATTAGCAAGAAAAAAAATTGGGCCTCCCCTGGTGGTGGCACAGCGATTGAGCGCTGGACTGCGAGGCTGCCCTCAGCCTCTGCAGCACCAGTTCGTTCCACGGCTGCCAGCGAGGGTCCCACAAAAAAAAAGAAAAAAAGAAAAAAAATTAAATCTTGTTGCCTTCCTCTGGCATCAGCATATTTTCAGATCAGGACAATTTAGAAAAGAAGCCCCTCCTATCAAGAATAACCACATTCCTAATGTCAGTGACTTACCTTTTCTACCTATAAAAGCTAAATTCAAACTTGTTAATTGATCCAGCGCTCACATAGTAAAATTTGTTGTAGTGCTTCCTGGGTTCAAATCCTCACTTTGATTTTCTAATAAACTCTTTGTTTATCCTTGAGACTTTACTCATTTAACAGCTTGAATAGCCAAGTGTGAATACTTTTAAAATAAAGAGGTATCCCTTTAAATTTAAAACGCATTAGACTACTGTGGTTCTCTTGGCCCAAGGATAAATGCCATGGAAATTAAAGAAAATAGTTCTAATGCCATGAAACAGAAAAGGTCAGATAGGGTGAGATGATTACTCTCATCATTATTAACATTACTTTGCATTTAGATAGGCCTCTCCTTTGCAGACTCATTCTCATTCTATCCCATTGCTTGTATTTGAGCAGCTGTGGAACTCTTGATGACATCAAGAGTGATCCTGATGTGGAAGAGAAGCCATAAGTCAAGAGGAGGCAGAGCAATTAACCTTTGACTTTATTTGCTCCCTCTGGTCATCATTTGCAAACAACCCACAAAAACTGTGCTTGCATGAAAATAATAACCATATAAACTTAAAACCTCTTTGGGACTTCTGAATTAAAATTCTTTAAGATATTTTTGAAATCTGAATTTTATATTTTTAATATAGATTTTAAATTGTAATTGTTTGTGTGCATGTGTATGTCCACATTGAAGAATCTCGGTATCATATTATAAATATACTGTGGTTGTCGGAAAAGTCATGATGCATTTTTGCATAGAAAATGGAAAAAAATACATCATGACTCTTCCAACAGCCCAATATAACTCCAACACCAACTAATTCCTCTCTGCCAAAGAATCTGTTTATATTTTGAACTTCTTTTACTATCCATAGCAGGGTAAAGCTGGACACTCTTCCAAGGCCCTGGCCAGGTCTCAGACCTCTCACTCTACTGAACAACACTCCCTCCTACATCACAGAGGAGAATACAATTAGCATCTTTCAATTTTTCTGTCAGTGTCTTTTGTCTTCTTTCTTTTCTGAATCAAAGAAACTGCTAACACTTTTGCATGGTTAACTCCTCCACCTGTACCTTAGATGTCTTCTATAGTTTCTTTCCTCATCACATCACTTACTTCATTATTAGAGTTCCCCAGTCTTTGACAACTTTCCCTTTACTCAGATGACCCTAACCTCTTAGCAAAATCCTCTTTTTTTATTTAAATTGTTGACTTGATAATCCTCTTTCTCCTTTCCCTGCACAGTTATATCAATAGTCTATTTGCATACCTCTCATGTTCCTATACCCCATTCATGGCTCACTCACTGCGCAGGGACTCAGTTTCACCTAGCTACCTGGATTGCATGTTTCCTACTACCAGGTTGCTACCAAAAATTCTCCAAGTTCCTAAACTCATTATTTCCAAACTCAAACTCCCTTTCTAACACATGAAAGTGTGCTATACTTTTGGTGTCAGTTAACAGTATCAATAGTTATCTATGGCCAAAATATCCTGAAAAAACATAATTATCATTTCCCTTTCTCTCATGTCCCAAATCATATAAGTTTTCAAGTTTTGTTGAGTCCACCACAAAAATCTCTGTTAATAGCTGTCACCTTCTATTGCTCCCACTGTCACTGCCTTCATATTTCTTTCTGCTGTTAGTTTCTTCTATCTCAGTTCAATCTTTCATGATTTTCCCAGTGTCTGCATTCTGAAGTAAAATGTGACCACCTCAAAACCTAAGAAAGGCATGTCTAAAAAGACTCAGTGACTCTTCATTGCTATGACATAAAAACAAATAACACAATTAACACATAAAACATCCTTGCAAAAACAAGTGAGCCTGAATTTACTCAAACGTCTACTTCTGATTAGTTTACAGGAAAAGAGGAACATGGTAAATGACACATCAGAGTTGTGGTTAATCAGATCCAGAGAATCAGAATTCTATAAAACAAATGACCAAATCACTTCAAGAGATAAACAGTAACTTTAGGCAAACAACACAGAGGATCTGTCATAAATTCAAACAGACTTAAGACATATGTCAACATATGCACCATGTGGATGTTTTAGAGGCAACTTGACTGAGTGTTTAATGATACTAGGGAAACACTATTAATTTTGTTAGATGCATATATGAAATATGATTTTTAATCATCCTTTTCCATTAGATATACACTATGAAGCATGAATAATGAACTTGCTATAAAATATTCCAAAGATGGGGGAGATTAGATGGGGAGATATGAAGCAAAATTTATGTGTTGATAATTGGTGAGGCTAAATTATCAGTATGAGAGCTTTTTTCCTAATCTCCACTTCTGCATATATTTGAAATTTTCCATAATAAAAAAATATTTTTAAAAATCCCTATTTGTGGTATTCAAAACCATTAACAACACTCCCATAGAATACTTTTCTAGACTTAACTTTAGATGTTCTTTATCTTCATCACATTTTTCTTAACCTGCTAAGCACTTGGATACTAGATCTGGGCTCATGAAGACATTCCTACACACTCTGGTCACTATTTTGGAGAAGTTAAATGACCTCTTCTCACATAAATTAGAAATCTCATATAAGCAATATAGCTACCTACTAATTGCTTTATGCAGGTATGTTCCTGCCCTGGTATGCTTCAAACAAAGGAGTATTAGCAAATTTGAAGAATGTAAAACATGACAGAAGGTATTTCAGTTTCCAGGATAGATTTGGATAAGTAGTTTCAGATGGTCTAATCCTCATTTTGTAAATGTACTGTGGTTCTATTACTTTAACTGATATAAAATGATGAACACTGAAGTGAAACATTGAATTACTTCTCCTGAGTGCAGATTTTAGGAACCAGTCAGACATATCCACCAACATGGTAAAACCTCAAAATCTCTATAACAATATTGATGGATTGCTGTGTGGTACATTCCAAAACTGACCTGTGTACTTTGGTGGTGACCAACATTTCATTGAAAAGATTTTTTTTGAGTGCTACATAATATTTCACAATCATTTTCTTAAGTATTATTTCTAAATAAATCTATTAGCATATAAAGGCAGTTTAAAACTTAAGAGGAAAAACTTATGAGAAAAAAAGGGCATCAATTAGGCAAATTTTGAATGAAATTAGTCTCTCACAATTTTATCACTCACTAGCCAGTAAGTTTCATATCTTTGAGCAGCCATTATAATAATATTAACTATAATGAACACTTTGTATGTTAATGTGGATATAAATTACAACTCCAGAAAAAGGTCTTTTGTCATTTGCCATTTGCTAATACCCATTTAGTGTTGAGGGATAACCCCCACTTTCCACATATATTTAAATGATTTACTATTCAAATATGATCACTCTTTCCAGATACAATTAGAGAAAAGATTAGATTCGTACTTACCAGGAAATCTACTGTGGAGGTTGGCATCACAGTTGTAGCTATTGAACTGAGCAGACCCCGGAAGTACTCTAATCATTAGAAGCAGCAGCAACCATATTTGTTCCATTGCAAAACCTAGAAAAGAGTTTCTTATCATGTAGATGTCAACAGCCTTCACTTTTATTTGCTGGAAAGATTGAGGTTGCTCTCAGCACACTCTTAAATAGGCCATATATATATGTAGTCAAGGTCATTAAAGGTCTAAGAATTATAGAAATTATTATCAACAATGAAGATAAAGATTTTCTTACATTATTTCAATATTATGATTATTCTTTGGCTTCAGCTTGCTAAGGGTGACAAAGTGAGTCTTTTCTGGTGAAGAGCTATAGCATAAGTCATGAAGTATGCAGAAGAAAATTTCTTTTTCATGAATGGGAAAATCGATCCAAGTATCTGACAGATTAGAGCAGTGTAACTAGGCAGGCTGATCAATTCAGAGACAAATCTATACTTTAAAATATCAATACATGAAATGTATTGAGGGACTTATTGCTTAATACTTGATCTGACAGGATTCTCAATATTCTGCATGACCACATAACATCAGGAAAAATTTGTCTTTAACAAAGAAAGGAATTCTACTAGAGTACTGCCCTGTCTCAAATCAAGGGTCTGTGTATCTTTTTTTTTTTTTTCAGGAAATACAGGAATAATGCAAAAGGAAGAACAGAAAATACTGTACTTGAAATAACTCACAGTTCGTCTAATAATTACTCATTGGTGGTTAGTAAGGACTGATACAGATATATGAAAACACTGAATTCTTAGGAGAACATCATGATTTTTTTAATATGACAGTGTGGGTTGTACAAATAGACAGAAGTTGACTTTGAAACTTAAATACGAGTCACCTTGGTGTTTAATATTATTTTTCCTGGATTCCCTTTTATTGGTTGGATAAAATTAAAACACCTGTCAGAAGTGACCAACTAATTGTCAGCATAGAGTTTGTGAACTGAGAAAGAAATCTGTTCATTGGTAGCTTGTATCTATACATAATCAGCAAAAAGAAAATAAAATTATAAATGGTTTATTCAAATAATTCAGTACATTTTAAAGTTTGGGGCTTGGGGAAAATGGTATTTTACATGTTTTTAAAGATCAAATCTTAGATGATTAATCAAGGTTTTAGCAAAAGGAAGGAAACACATTTTGCTTTTGAATCATCATTTGAGTATAACAAGTTTATGGTGAATGAAGTCACTTGAGTGAGGATGTGGGAAAGGAAGAGATGAGTTTACTCTCAAAAAATTGACTGAAAAAATTATTAATTCAACAGGAGCTTCCTTCCTTTCATGCTGTAACATACTACTCAGATAAACCTAATGAGTTTTGGTAGAAGAGTCGTATGTCTAGTTAGCACTATTCCCCTAGAACAGTGCATTATATAAAAGTCAAGCAGCTCAAGACACTTCAAAGAGACTAAAACAGTCCTGCTCTTTTGGGTCTGTGGAAAACTACTAGGAAAAGGAACAGCTTGGTCTGATTGGTGCATCCCATCACACACACCTATTCCATGCCTTGCCACTGCCTTCTCATGATGGGTCCCCCTAATTCTCAGAAGGCATTAGAGACTATAGACCCTCACCACCATCACCACTATTTTCCATTCTACAGATGTCTACCAGCCCTAAGGTTTTAGTCAGGAATTTTAGCTGGTGGATTATTTTTGTTATTTTGAAGTAATTTCTAGCTTTTATATCTTCCAATGGGAAAAAAATTAGCACTGAGTGTTCAACATGCACAAAGAAGACACTATGTGGCAGATAATTTACCTATAATAAGGTGTTCAATGATTCCTTATAATTCATATTCCTTATAAGAATTAGATGAGGGAGCCTATATAAACAGTGATGTAGACCTCCTAAATATAAAGAATTATTACTCTAGGTACAGAGAAGGAAAAATAAGTCTCAGCATCCATATGGCCAGCAGACATATGAAAACATGCTCAGCTCCACTTATTTTGGGAAAATACCAACAAAATCACAATGATATGTCACTGCACACTTGTGGAAATGGTTTGTATCTAGCAGATTGTAAACAACATGTGCTGGTGAGGGTGTGGAGAAAAAGGAACTCTCACGTGTTGTTGGGAATGAATGGTGCATCCATTGTGGAAAACAGTGTGCAAATTCCTTAAAAGGCTAAAAATAAAAATATCATATGATCTACTGATGTCTTTCCTATGAGTTTATCCTATGACTATGAAAACACTAACTCAAAAAGATGTGCACTCCTATGTTCATAGCAGCGGTATTCACAATAGTCAAAAGCATGAAAGCAATATAAATGGCCATCAACAGATGAGTAGTTTAAGAAGATGTTGTATATATGTTTGATGCAATAATACTCAACTCTTTTAAAAGATAAATCTAGCTATTTGTAACAAAATGGATGGAACTTGAGGTAAGGAGGCTAAGCAAAATAAGTCAGAACGTGAATTATTAGGGGAGGTACCACGTTCCCCACCTCACTTAACTATGGGTAGAACTGAGCAGCCAGGTGAAGTATAAAACGCAGAAGGCAGGTGGGCTGAGAGGGGAGTTCCTCTTGTTCCTGCAGCCCATATTGTACCATGATCACATCTTAGAATGAGACATGGAAGGAAATGCATGCAGGAGAGACATGGAAGAGACACAAGGGTGAGAGACAAGTGGGGAGGCTGGCAATGGCAGCCGCTCTCTTGATTTGGGACCTCTTTTAGTTGCAGCTTTCCGGGATGTGTTTCAGAAACCATCCCTTATGATTCCCCACCAGAAGGCGCCTTACACTTGTGGCAAGCTTTCAGCCTCAGTGGCCCCACTTCAAGCCAACACTGTTTGACTGGGCATTTACCCACTAGGGGATGGATAATTCTGGGTGATTTATGGGGAAAAACATCATTTCTTCTTTATGTTTACCAATTACAAATATTAAAGTCTTTTCACGCTAAGGGCCTGTCTTTGCCTTGTATGTACAGAGAGCCAGATCCCTTTTAGGCCATACATGTTTGGGAGTCCCTAGACACCCTTTGATCACACTAAAGCAAACAGTTACTGGATGTGATCTATATATATGTGGACTATATATCTGACATGTGGACTATATATCTCATATGTGGACTATAACTAACCAAATATAATAACTCTTAGACTCTGTGGGGAAAATGGTGGTTACCAAGAGGAAACGGAAGGTGATGAGGTGAAAAGTTAGAAGGGGTCTAATTTGATAGCGTGTATGGCATTAGAAGTTTGGTGACATGTCACGGTATGAGCTGCACTCCTGCAATTTATATAATATTGTAAACTTCCTTTATCATCCTTAACCCTATATCCATCATATCAATTACACATGAAAACATAAGTTTCAACTCACAGTAGCAGTCTTGTCAGCTGCTACTTGCCACAGTTCTTAAAGTTACTTTCTGAAATGGGATTGCCTGACATTGGTGATGATGTTGAATCCCTTTATACCCATCAAAGCATAATGACCTGTTTTCTAAGGGCCCTTGGCCATGGGCAGGTTCAATTCTAAACTGTGCTCTGCAGGACTGGTCTGGCTAATAAAGCTTTGTTGAACATCATGACACAAAATAGAACCTGATTTTGGTGGTCTATTCTGGTATGAGCTGAGGTGTTTGCTGTCCCATTGTGACTCCAGAAACTAAGCAGAAGCATCTCCCATCTTAGCAATAGGTACAATGACAACACCCCTTCTTTGGTGTCAACAATGGTGGACAAAACTGCCTAACAGCCAATATTACAAAATATTAGTGACACATTCTTAGATAATAATGGCCTCAGAGATAGGTATAAACAAGATTTTCAGACATGTTTATTTCTTAACTTAGCACCTTCATAAATTTTAGTTGATGGAGATCAGGAGGGAGAGGACAACTGTATGCATCATGCTGAATTTTAAGGAATTCAGAAGTACTGATTTTAAAAAGACCAACTCTAATGGGCTAAAGAGATTTTTCAGACAGACCATCTGTACATCTCAGAAGGCTGAGAATTTAGAAGACTTCTATGAAAGTACATGTCAGAGATCATGCTATTCAACAGAAAATAGTGTGGGACCCTTGTGTTGTGAGAGACAGTTGACTTCTGGTAGGTAGAATTGACCTGGCTTCTGTACAATATCCCCCAACATGTTGTACACTTTTTATGGAGCATGCACCTCTGTCATCTGTTTCCCAGAAAAAAACAGATCTGTGTATATGTATGTACAGACAAATGCTTTAGACAATAAATGTCTTATTCCTTCATTTAAAAAAAAAACTATGCTCATATCCCTTAATCTGGTACTAACAGAATCTGTGTTTTATATTTAACAATGCTAAAAAAGTCATATGCTTGATGATTTTGCTAGCAAATATGTCAATATTTCTCATATTAAATTTCTCTAAAAAACTTCTTCCAAAATATGAATTTCTAGTTTAGAATTGAACTTAGAGTCAGAAAAAACAATTTCTCAGTTCCTACTGAATTTCACACAAATTCATGTTGTTCTGTCAAAAATACCGTTTATTTTTTTTGATGTCTCCTTTTTTGAGGTCTATTATATTCCAGGCAGTGTGCTATGTTTAATATTCAGCTGTTAACATGGATTTAATTTTTACCCATGTTACAAATGTGAAAACTAAAGTCCAAAGTTTTTAATTGACTTGTCCAGGGTTACAGACCTAGTAAATGGCAGAACAGAATTCAAAACCAAGCTTGACCTTTGTAATTATTATGCCACTCTGGTTGACTTAATTGGAGTTTGTCAAATAAATAAAATTAATGTACTGCTAATTTCCAGAAAGTAAATTATATTAATAATGTATGCTTAAAATATGCTTTGAACTAAATGAGTCAGATGATTCAGGCAAAATATTTTTAATATCTACATAATTGTCATGACTCTCTCAATTAGGAAATGAGTGCATAAAAATATCATTCTTTTCACAAATTGATTCAATGATAGTACAAGTGAGTTTTATGCCAGAATTTTTTAAAGCATCTCATGCATATTTTTTAAGCAATGAGATATGTTATTTATTCTAGGATAAGAAAACTAAGGCACAGAAATATTAAACGACTTGCCCA